GCTTGAAAAGAAACGCTTGCGAGGGTTGCACTTAATCCTTGTCTTACGCTCCATTCCTGGTAAGGCTTGTAAAGACGCGGCAGCAGGAGTTGCACTTAAGCCTTGTCTTACGCTCCATCCCTGGAAAGGCTTGTAAAGACGGTCCAATAGAATGGTTAGGCCCGCTGCTCAACCATTCACACTAAATGTAAGCTAACAACTAAACTGTATTATCTCTCTTAACATACTAGAAATGTATTAAATGGTAAAACAGGATATTTGCTGGAATTACTGACTGCTACCGCTGGTGAGTGGCGTAGCTCCTTTGAGTTAAATGTTTTGTAACTGTGTTTTACGTCAAGTATTAAATGATGTGTATTAACCGTTGCACCCTTGAGCAGTAAGAAGGTGGCTTGGTCTGAGGAATCACGTTTTCTTTCACATCATGTACAGCTTAGGGTTGGGGTTAGAAATGGCTTGAAAAGGCTTGAAAAGACGCTTGGCCAAGGAGTTGCACTTAAGCCCTGTCTTATGCTCCATTCCTGCTAAGGCTTGTAAAGACGGTCCAATAGAATGGTTAGGCCCGCCGCTTAAGCCTTGTCCTGTGCCCCATACCCGTGATGGCCAACAGAATATGGCACTGGACTTGAACTGCACTGGGGCTTTACCTGTGCAAGTTGAAGCCTGCTATGAACCTGAGTCTTAATGCAGAGAATCTTTATGAAGATGAGCAACAAAGCACCTTGGCATTCATCAAACAAGCTCGTGCCAAACACATCTTCCATCCTGGGAAATTGCATTGACGTAAAGGAAGTCAAACAAATCCTGCTTTGAGACAATGTCCACTGTAAAAGCGCTACACAAATAAAATTGATTTGAACTGAATCGAATGTGTACATGTAAAGTTGTAAATGGTCTAGTTACTTAATTGAAGTAAATGTATTGAAGAAGGGCAGAAACATGAGAATATAAAGATGCACAAACACGTTTATTGGCTCCAGAAAAAATAGTCTAGTGTTTCCTTAAATCACTTTGCCGCTTTGCTTGTGAAGAGCAAAATTCGAATAGAAAATCGATCTCGTTTGCTAGCTCACTTATCAAAGATAACTATAAAATACTTTATATTATAAAAATACTATTAGTAACCCATAATTAACTAAATGTGTCCGCCGCAGTATCTAGCGACCTTTTGCTTTTCTATGATCCGCCACGCCTACTTAGATCAAAAGATGCAGGCTATTTGTTCGTACCTCGGTAGCGAAGGCTACAACAGGAGGATGAGCTTTCTCTTCTGGAGCCCCACACTTATGGAACAGTCTTCCAATTAGAGTTCGGGACTCAGGCACAGTCTCAGTGTCTAGGCTTTAATCGTATTTGTTTAATCAAGCCTACCCTGACTAGACTTTCTCTTATGCTAAGCACAGTCCTAGTTTTTTTTCTCTCCCTCCCTCCTTCTGTCGAGCCACACCCGATTTTATGGAGATACTAGAGATCCTGATCCCCTCTGCTCTCTGGACCTACCTGATCCATTTTGGATGGCCTACCTCTGGATGGAGCTCTCATCTACTCCAATTCCAGATTGCTGGGACTACAGCTGCTTCTAAGGCCAAAGAGACTCCATATGAATCCATAATCATCTTTTTCACACTATCTGATGTTACCCAGATGAGGATAGGTTCCCTTCTGATTCTGGTTCCTCTCAAGGTTTGTTCCTCTTAACATCTTAGGGAGTTTTTCCTTGCCACCGTCACCACTTAGTGGCTTGCTCAGTTGGGATAAATTCGCACCTTATATATCGATATACCGAATGGTTTTATAGATATACATGGATTGAGCTTTGCTTCACCTCCGCTAGCTCAGTTGGTAGAGCGGAGGACTGTAGGTACTTAAACTAGTCATCCTCAGGTCACTGGTTCCAATCCGGCTCGAAGGACGGATTTCTCTGTGTGATATGGTTTCTTTTTAAATGTTAATTTGGCCAGCGGTGGATAAAACACCATTCCCTGACCGGGAATCCTTACCACTAGACAACCAGGGACGAAAACCAAGAAAATGGTGGCCTCTACACTAGCTATGCTGGCCAGTTTCTTCCATCAAAAGCTCATAGAAACTGCACATGAGCATCAGCACAGGACAGTGGAGCAGTAAGAAGGTGGCTTGGTCTGAGGAATCACGTTTTCTTTCACATCATGTACAGCTTAGGGTTGGGGTTAGAAATGGCTTGAAAAGGCTTGAAAAGATGCTTGGCCAAGGAGTTGCACTTAAGCCCTGTCTTACGCTCCATTCCTGCTAAGGCTTGTAAAGACGGTCCAATAGAATGGTTAGGCCCGCCGCTCAACCATTCACACTAAATGTAAGCTAACGACTAGAAAGAACCAACTCCACTGCTTTGTTGCCGAAATACCTGAGCAGGGTCCCTAAGTGAAGCCTATACATTTCTCAAACAAATTGCATGGGAATACGTTCAGACATTGGTCGACGATGAAGCAAGGCTGTTTTATGTAGTTGTGGCCGAGTGGTTAAGGCGATGGACTAGAAATCCATTGGGGTCTCCCCGCGCAGGTTCGACTCCTGCCAACTACGTCTGAAGTTTGGTTTGCCTTTCAGACAGGCCAGTACTTGGCTAGCATTAGTGACAATCTTCCTCACTGTGCATTAATTGCTGTTCACAGTTGTTACATACCTGCTATTCTACTGAGAATTTGCCAATTGAACAAATGCAATGCTTTTCATTCTGAGTCCGGGGTCATTCCAATGAATGTTCAGGATCTGCCCAGCATCAAAATGAAAAGGGACAATAGCTCTGATGATAGTTCATGTGAAGAAAAAAACAAACAAACACACAGTTGGCAGAATAAATTTCACCAAATTCACTGGGAACGGTTCAACTTAATCTGTATGAAGTGAAAAAATGTCACCGTTTCAACATTTCATATTATTGCTGTCACTGAAAGGTATCAAGGCTTTCAGAAAATCACATTAAAACTGAAGTATATGTGATACAATTGGGGTAACATCCAGAGATACATTGCAGCAGTCACAGAAGACAGTAATTTCATATTATTGCTGTCACTGAAAGGTATCAAGGCTTTCAGAAAATCACATTAAAACTGAAGTATATGTGATACAATTGGGGTAACATCCAGAGATACATTGCAGCAGTCACAGAAGACAGTAAAGTCAAATACACAGATGAGACTGCCCCAACGAGAAGCACTTACGAATGTAATGCAAATCAAGTTGCTCCTATTTGAAGTAATCGAATTGTGATTTCTTTTGAAAGTATTGGATGTTGTCCAAACTGTTTAACGTTTAATACATTGTAAACAAAAATATAGTATCTTTAGTTGATTGAATCACCCAACATCACCCCAACAAATAGTACTTACCATTCAGGAAGGTCAGAGCCATTGATAGGATATCAACGGTGACAATAAGACAGATAGGTGGTCTACTTCTTTGCATCTTCTCCTGCCATGTTTACCATGACAAATGTAATCAGTGCATGCCTGCTTTCCTAGAAGTTGTCCACTGAGAGTTTACCAGTTGACCACTTTTTCATTCTGAGGGGCCTGAGTCAAGTGATGTTCATTGCAATGCTTGGAGTCTGATCGTAAATTGAGATGATTCACAGTCCAACCCACAGAAGCCAATGTGACAATAGAAGTGATGATGGCAGATCACTCCTTGTGAATGAACCAGGTCATTCACACGTTGACAGGCAGTTATCACGCTAGGTTGAGAGTAGGTACACAGCCAAATGATGCTCTCACTGATGTATTAAAAAGTATTGCTCTAAGAGATTTCAACACATGTTTCACTAAGCATATGTGCAAGAATTTTAATAGATATTTATAAAGAGAAACACTTTAGTTAGAATCTCAACAACAATGAATGTGATTATAGTTTCACACTCCACATTTGTGGTGTCCAAATTCACTGAAAGTTGCCCCAGCTTGTTAGCACTTACTTTAAAACTGCAGTAAATGTGCTACAATTAGGGTGACTTTCAGCCGAGCGCAACGCAGGACTCACACAAAGTAAGTAATGTCAAATACACAGCTGAGACTGCCCCAAAGAGTAGCACTTATTGATGAAATCAGTGCTTCTATTTCCTGTAATGTAATGGTGTTTAATTTGGACAGTATTGTCTGTCAAACTACGAATGAGAACTTGCATTAAACCTGCATTAAAAGTCTTCTTGATTCAAATCCAGACTGTGCACAGCAGATTGGCAGTCCATCAACTTAACCTATTGCTGACATAACTCACACTTATGAAATTACATGCCAGTCTGTGGAGTCTGTGGAGAATAAAGGAGGATTTGATGCACATTGTTTGCCATTGCAATTCTAGCTTCTCATGTTTCTCCACCCACACTTGTTCTGTCTCATGGATCTGTCCAGAGCCTGTCACCTGTAGGCCTTGTATGTGTGAGACAGACTGCACCCAAGCCAGAGGTTGTTGTAAAGTGGAGGCAAAACAACCTGTCTGCGATGAGGGTGGGACTCCAACCCACGCGTGCAGAGCACAATGGATTAGCAGTCCATCGCCTTAACCTCTCGGCCACCTCATCCGAAAGCCTTTTCCCAGATCCTCACAAATAAAATTTTTGCCTAGCATGATACACTTTAACAAACATGTGTTGTGAAGGTCAGACTTTGACTGATCCCTGTTCCTCAAATCAGACATGGTACTCACTCACACCTGATTGTTATGCCATAGACTGAAAACACCTGACACTGATTTCCCCTTCAAACTAACAGCTCACGCTTATGCCCCAACTTGCTAGCACTTACTTTAAAACTGCAGTAAATGTGCTACAATTAGGGTGACTTTCAGCCGAGAAACATCGCAGGACTCACACAAAGTAAGTAATGACAAATACACAGATGAGACTGCCCCAAAGAGTAGCACTTATTGATGAAATCAGTGCTTCTATTTCAAGTAATCTAATTGTGCTTTATTTGGAAAGTATTGGCTATACCCGAGCATGGTCCACGACACTGTAGCTTAAGTGTGTCAGGATGGCCGAGCGGTCTAAGGCGCTGCGTTCAGGTCGCAGTCTCCCCTGGGCGGTAGGCGTGTCCAATCCCATTTCTGACATTTGGTTCCTTTGCTGCACCTCTGATGAGGGGGTATTGGGCTGTTCCTGAGAGCTTGTTTAAATAAATGCCCCTGCATAGTTTGGAATTTCCTTTGCATAGTTTTTGGGTCTTTTAGTCAGGATGGTCGAGTGGTCTAAGGCGCTGTGTTAAGGTTTCAGTCTCTTCTGGAGGTGTGGGTTCAAATCCCACTTCTGACATGCTGCACTTTGTTGATAAGACTGTTCATAATGTAGTTGACATGCTGGGGTGCAGTTGAGTCGGGCAGGTGTGGTTAGTGTGAATGTGATCTCACGGCAGGTGTTGGGTTTAGTTTGATTACCTGCCTTATTCATGTGCTTGTGTTTCCTGAGGGCGTCGCTCGTGATTGTGTTTATATATGTATGATTGTGTTTATACAACTTAAACACCGGTCTTACCACTAGACAACCAGGGATGAAAACCAAGAAAATGGTGGCCTCTACACTGGTTATGCTGGCCAGTGTCTTCCATCAAAAGCTCATAGAAAATCACATGAGCATCAGCACAGGACCATGGAGCAGTAAGAAGGTGGCTTGGTCTGAGGAATCATGTTTTCTTTCACACCATGTACAGCTTAGGGTTATAATAATAATAATAATAATAATAATAATAATAAACTTTATTGGGGTTAGAAATGGCTCGAAAAGGCTTGAAAAGACGCTTTGCCCAGGAGTTGCACTTAATCCTTGTCTTACGCTCAATTCCTGGTAAGGCTTGAAAAGACGCGCTAGCCAAGGAGTTACACTTAATCCTTGTCTTACGCTCCATTCCTGGTAAGGCTTGTAAAAGCCGCTTGGCCAAGGAGTTGCACTTAAGCACTTAAGGTGGCTTGGTCTGAGGAATCACTTTTCTTTCACATCATGTACAGCTTAGGGTTGGGGTTAGAAATGGCTTGAAAATGCTTGAAAAGAGCCGGCCAAGGAGTTGCACTTAAGCCTTGTCTTACGCTCCATTCCTGGTAAGCCTTGTAAAGACGCTTGGCCAAGGAGTTTCACTTAAGCCTTGTCTTACGCTCCATTCCTGGTAAGCCTTGTAAAGACGCTTGGTCAAGGAGTTGCACTTAAGCCTTGTCTTACGCTCCATTCCTGGTAAGCCTTGTAAAGACGCTTGGCCAAGGAGTTGCACTTAAGCCGTGTCTTACGCTCCATTCCTGCTAAGGCTTGTAAAGACAGTCCGATAGAATGGTTAGGCCCGCGCCTCAGCCATTCACACAATGTAAGCTAACGACTAAAGTGTATTATCTCTCTTAACATACTAGAAATGTATTTAATGGTAAAAGGGATATTTCCTGGAATTCCTGACTGCTACCGCTGGTGAGTGGAGTAGCTCCTTTGAGTTAAATGTTTTGTAACTGTGTTTTACGTCAAGTATTAAATGATGTGTATTAACCGTTGCACCCTTGAGCAGTAAGAAGGTGGCTTGGTCTGAGGAATCACGTTTTCTTTCACATCATGTACAGCTTTGGGTTGGGGTTAGAAATGGCTTGAAAAGGCTTGAAAAGACGCTTGGCCAAGGAGTTGCACTTAAGCCTTGTCTTACTCTCCATTCCTGCTAAGGCTTGTAAAGACGCTTGGCCAAGGAGTTGCACTTAAGCCTTGTCTTACGCTCCATTCCTGCTAAGGCTTGTAAAGACGCTTGGCCAAGGAATTGCACTTAAGCCTTGTCTCATGGTTCTTTCGCGTGGTGTGCAAAAGAATAGAGCACCGGTGTTAGCAAACAGACTCCCGGCGAATCGAACCCGGTCTTCCGCGTGACAGGCGGAGATACTGTCCACTATACTAACGGGAAATCCTATTCTCGCGCTGAAAGAGCGGTTGGCACTTTGGATAGCATCAAACATAAACGATAAAACCATAAATGATCCAAGAAATTGCACTTAAGCCTTGTCCTGTGCCCCCATACCGTGATGGCCAACAGAATATGGCACTGGACTTGAACTGCACTGGGGCTTTACCTGTGCAAGTTGAAGCCTGCTATGAACCTGAGTCTTAATGCAGAGAATCTTTATGAAGATGAGCAACAAAGCACCTTGGCATTCATCAAACAAGCTCGTGCCAAACACATCTTCCATCCTGGGAAATTGCATTGACGTAAAGGAAGTCAAACGAATCCTGCTTTGAGACAATGTCCACTGTAAAAGCGCTACACAAATAAAATTGATTTGAACTGAATCGAATGTGTACATGTAAAGTTGTAAATGGTCTAGTTACTTAATTGAAGTAAATGTATTGAAGAAGGGCAGAAACATGAGAATATAAAGATGCACAAACACGTTTATTGGCTCCAGAAAAAATAGTCTAGTGTTTCCTTAAATCACTTTTGCCGCTTTGCTTGTGAAGAGCAAAATTCGAATAGAAAATCGATCTCGTTTGCTAGTTCACTTATCAAAGATAACTATAAAATACTTTATATTATAAAATACTATTAGTAACCCATAATTAACTAAATGGTCTCGCGCCGGGTATCTAAGCGACCTTTTGCTTTTCTATGATCCGCCCGCCTACTTAGATCAAAAGATGCAGGCTATTTGTTCGTTACCTCGGAAGCAGGCTACAACAGGAGGATGAGCTTTCTCTTCTGGAGCCCCACACTTATGGAACAGTCTTCCAATTAGAGTTCGGGACTCAGTCTCAGTGTCTAGGCTTTAATCGTATTTGTTTAATCAAGCCTACCCTGACTAGACTTTCTCTTATGCTAAGCACAGTCCTAGTTTTTTTTCTCTCCCTCCCTCCTTCTGTCGAGCCACACCCGATTTTATGGAGATACTAGAGATCCTGATCCCCTCTGCTCTCTGGACCTACCTGATCCATTTTGGATGGCCTACCTCTGGATGGAGCTCTCATCTACTCCAATTCCAGATTGCTGGGACTACAGCTGCTTCTAAGGCCAAAGAGACTCCATATGAATCCATAATCATCTTTTTCACACTATCTGATGTTACCCAGATGAGGATAGGTTCCCTTCTGATTCTGGTTCCTCTCAAGGTTTGTTCCTCTTAACATCTTAGGGAGTTTTTCCTTGCCACCGTCACCACTTAGTGGCTTGCTCAGTTGGGATAAATTCGCACCTTATATATCGATATACCGAATGGTTTTATAGATATACATGGATTGAGCTTTGCTTCACCTCCGATAGCTCAGTTGGTAGCGGGGAGGACTGTAGGTACTTAAACTAGTCATCCTCAGGTCACTGGTTCCAATACGGCTCGAAGGACGGATTTCTCTGTGTGATATGGTTTCTTTTTAAATGTTAATTTGGCCAGCGGTGGATAAAACACCATTCCCTGACCGGGAATCGAACCCGGGCCGCGGCGGTGAGAGCGCCGAATCCTTACCACTAGACAACCAGGGACGAACACCAAGAAAATGGTGGCCTCTACACTAGCTATGCTGGCCAGTTTCTTCCATCAAAAGCTCATAGAAACTGCACATGAGCATCAGCACAGGACAGTGGAGCAGTAAGAAGGTGGCTTGTTCTGAGGAATCACGTTTTCTTTCACATCATGTACAGCTTAGGGTTGGGGTTAGAAATGGCTTGAAAAGGCTTGAAAAGATGCTTGGCCAAGGAGTTGCACTTAAGCCCTGTCTTACGCTCCATTCCTGCTAAGGCTTGTAAAGACGGTCCAATAGAATGGTTAGGCCCGCTGCTCAACCATTCACACTAAATGTAAGCTAACGACTAAAGTGTATTATCTCTCTTAACATACTAGAAATGTATTTAATGGTAAAACGGGATATTTCCTGGAATTCCTGACTGCTACCGCTGGTGAGTGGAGTAGCTCCTTTGAGTTAAATGTTTTGTAACTGTGTTTTACGTCAAGTATTAAATGATGTGTATTAACCGTTGCACCCTTGAACAGTAAGAAGGTGGCTTGGTTATGCCATAGACTGAAAACACCTGACACTGATTTCCCCTTCAAACTAACAGCTCAAGCTTATGCCCCAACTTGCTAGCACTTACTTTAAAACTGCAGTAAATGTGCTACAATTAGGGTGACTTTCAGCCGAGAAACATTGCAGGACTCACACAAAGTAAGTAATGTCAAATACACAGATGAGACTGCCCCAAAGAGTAGCACTTATTGATGAAATCAGTGCTTCTATTTCAAGTAATGTAATGGTGTTTTATTTGGAAAGTATTGGTTATACCCGAGCATGGTCCACGACGCTGTAGCTTATGTGTGTCAGGATGGCACTGTGCATAGAAAGAACCAACTCCACTGCTTTGTTGCCGAAATACCTGAGCAGGGTCCCTAAGTGAAGCCTATACTTTTCTCAAACAAATTGCATGGGAATACGTTCAGACATTGGTCGACGATGAAGCAAGGCTGTTTTATGTAGTTGTGGCCGTACCCTCCGGCGAACGGACTGGCAATCAGTTCCTAACACATCCTAACGCAGTTCAAAGAGGTCCTAACAAAGTCCTAACACATTCCTAACAAAGTCCTAACACATTCCTAACAAAGTCCTAACAGTTCCTAACCCTCATGCACCGGGGCAAAACGGCCATTGGTCGAAGCGTAGTGACGTGGAAAATCACGTGATTAATAAACGAGACGGGGCAAAACGGCCATTGGTCGAAACGTAGTGACGTGGAAAATCATGTGATTAATAAACGAGAGAGAAGGAATTTGCAGGAGCCATTTGTTCACGATCCTCGGAGAGTACATAGCGCTACACAGATATTCATATATATTTTATAAAGCTTTTTTTTAAGATTTTTTTTGTACCTTTGGATAGATTCGAGGTTAGTCTGATCATTAATTTAACTAAACTTATTGTTATAGGTGCTTTAATATTGACCTAAATATGAGGCCAGCCATTTATATTGTGCTATGAATGTACGGGCTGCTTTAAGTTATAGTATATAGAATAATATTAACAATGACAGCAATAATGACGAATGGAATACAGAGTGGGACAGAGTGTCTGGTGTTTTAAAATGCCGCCAGAGACAATTCGCGTTTTTTTCTGATGTGAA